TGACTGAGGGTGGCATCGCAACCTCCTGATCTGCCCTGCTCTGTGCATGACAGGGGGCGGTGCCCCAACTCCCCAATCGGCCCTGCTCTGAGCCCGACCAGGAGCTGCGGGGCAGGCACCTAGGGAATGTGCCTGCCCTCTGCCACGCAGGAATGGGCCTAAGCCAGCAGGTCGTTATCTCCTGAGGGGTCCTAGACTGAGAGAGGGCACAAGTGGGGCTGAGGGACACCCCCCTCCCCAGTGCACAAATTTTTGTGCACCGGGCCTCTAGTTAGAAATAAACTACAATAAAAACAATCCAAAAAATTCAAACACTTGGAAGCTGAATAGCATGCTATTAAACAATGACTGGGTTACCAAAGAGATCAAAGAAGAAATTAAAAGCATCACGGAAACTAATGATAATAAAAACACAACAATCCAAAATCTATGAGAAACAATGAAAGTAGTCCTGAGAGGGAAGTTTATAGCTCTACAGGCTACCTCAAAAAACAAGAAAAATGGTAGTAAATCATCTACTCTACCACTTAAAGAATTAGAAGAAGAGCAACAAGAACAGCCCAGAGTGAGAAGACGGAAGGACATAATAAAGATCAGAGCAGAAATCAATGACATGGAAACCAAAAAAACAATTCAAAAGATCATTGAAACCGAGAGCTGGTTCTTTAAAAGGATAAACAAGATTGAGGAACCTCTAGAGAGGCTCAACAAGAAGCAAAGAGAGAGGACCCAAATAAACAAAATCAGAAATGAAAAGAGGCAAAATTACATCAGACCCCACAGAAATACAAAGGATTGCTAAAAAATACTATGAACAACTCTATTCCAACAAACTAGACAACCTAGAGGAAATGGACATATTCCTAGAAAAATACAACATTCCAATACTCAATCAGGAAGAATCTAAAGATCACAATAGGCCAATAACTATAGAAGAAATTGAAGCAGTCATCAAAAAACTTCCAGCAAACAAAAGCTCGGGGCCAGACGGCTTCACAGGGGAGATTTACCAAACATTCAATGAAGAACTAAAACCTATGTTCCTCATACTATTCCAAAAAAGTCAAGAGGAAGGAACACTTTCAAGCTCATTCTATGAAGCCAGCATCACCCTAATACCAAAACCAGATAAAGACAACACAATAAAAAGAATTACAGGCCAATATCCTTCATGAACAGATGCCAACATCCTCAATAAAATTCTAGCAAATTGGATCCAGCAGTACATCAGAAAGATCATACACCATGACCAAGTAGGATTTATACTGGGGATGCAAAGATGGTACAACAACCGCAAATCAATAAACGTGATACATCACATTAAAAAACCGACACATAAAATCACATAGTCATATCAATTAATGCAGGAAAAGCATTTGACAAAATCTAACACCCTTTCTTGATAAAAACACTCAGAAAGGTGAGAATAAAAGATCATATCTCAACATAATAAAAGCCACATATAACAAACCCACAGCCAACATCATACTCAATGGGCAAAAACTAAAACTATTTTCCCTAAGAACAGGAACCAGACAAGGATGCCCACTCTCACCACTCCTACTCAACTGGAAGTACTAGCCATTGCAATCACACAAGAAGAAGGAATAAAAGGCATACAAATTGGAAAAGAAGACGTAAAACTGTCCATATTTGTAAATGACATGATACTGTACATAGAAAATCCTAAAGACTCCATCAAAAAATTATTAGACTTAATAAATGAATTTGGCAAGGTAGCAGGATACAAAATTAACACCAAGAAATGTATGGAATTTCTATACACCAATAGTGAACTTACCGAAAAAGAGACTGAAAAAGCAATCCCGTTGACCATCGCACCAAAAATAATTAAGATACCTAGGAAAAAACTTAACTAAGGAGGTAAAAGACCTATACATGGAAATCTATAGGGAACTGAAAAAAGAGATAAAAGAAGACATAACGAGACGGAAGAATAGACTCTGCTCATGGATTGTTAGAATCAACATCATTAAAATGTCCATACTACCCAAAGCAATCTATACATTTAATGCACTTCCCATTAAAATACCAACGGCATGTTTCACAGATCTAGAACAAACATTCAAAAAATTCATCTGGAATAAAAAAAGACCCCAAATAGCTGCAGCGATCCTGAGAAAGAAGATCAAAGTAGGTGGGATCTCAATACCAGATATCAAGCTGTATTACAAAGCCACTGTATTCAAAACAGCTTGGTACTGGCTCAAGAACAGACATATAGATCAATGGAATAGAATAGAGAACCCAGAAATCGACCCAAACCACTATGCTCAATTAATGTTTGACAAAGGAGGCAAGAACATACAATGGAGTCAAGACAGTGTCTTCAATAAATGGTGTTGGGAAAATTGGACAGATACATGCAAAAAAAATGAAACTAGACCACCAACTTACACCATACACAAAAATAAACTCAAAATGGATAAAGGACTTAAACATAAAACAGGAAAACATAAAAATACTAGGGCAGTGATGGCGATCCTATAACACGCGTGTCAGAGGTGACGCGCGAACTCATTTTTTTGGTTGATTTTTCTTTGTTAAATGGCATTTAAATATATAAAATAAATATCAAAAATATAAGTCTTTGTTTTACTATGGTTGCAAATATCAAAAAATTTCTATATGTGACAGGGCACCAGAGATAAGTTAGGGTTTTTCAAAATGCTGACACGCTGAGTTCAAAAGGTTCGCCATCACTTTACTAGAGGAATCCACAGGCAGCAAAATCTCAGACAAATGCTGAAGCAATGTCTTCACTGATACAGCTCCTAGGGCATTGGAAACTAAAGAGAAAATAAACAAATGGGACTACATCAAAATAAAAAGCTTCTGCACAGCCGAAGCCGGTTTGGCTCAGTGGATAGAGCGTCGGCCTGCGGACTGAAAGGTCCCAGGTTTGATTCCGGTCAGGGGCATGTACCTGGGTTGCGGGCACATCCCCAGTGGGAGATGTGCAGGAGGCAGCTGATCGATGTTTCTTTCTCATCAACGTTTCTAGTTCTCTCTCCCCATTCCTCTCTGTGAAAAATCAATAAAATATATTTTTTTAAAAAGCGTGTCTGCACAGCAAAAGAAACCATCAACAAAACAACAAGAAAGCCCACTGCATGGGAGAACATATTGCCAATGTTATCTCTGATAAGGGTTTAATCTCCAACATCAACAGGGAACTCATACAACTTAACAAAAGGAAGATAAACAACCCAACCAAAAAATGGGCAATGGACCTAAATAGATACTTTTCAAAAGAAGACAGAAGGAAGGCCAAGAGACATATGAAAACATGCTCAAAGTCACTAATCATACAAGAGATGCAAATCATAACGACAATGCGGTACCATCTCACACCCGTCAGAATGGCTATCATCAATAAATCAACAAACAACAAGTGTTGGCGAGGATTCGGAGAAAAAGGAACCCTCATGCACTGCTGGTGGGAATGCAGACTGGTGCAGCCACTGTGGAGAACGTGGTATGGAGTCTCCCCAAAAAACTATAATGGAACTCCCATTTGACCCAGTGATCCCACTTCTAGGAATATATCCCAAGAAGCTAGAAACACCAATCAGAAAGGATATATGCACCCCTCTGTTCATAGCAGCACAATTCACCATAGCTAAAATTTGGAAACAGCCTAAGTGCCCCTCAGCAGATGAGTGGATTAGAAAACTGCGCTACATCTACACTATGGAATACTACGCTGTGGTAAAAGAGAAGGAATTCTTACCATTTGCAACAGCATGGATGGAACTGGAGAGCATTGTGCTAAAGTGAAATAAGCCAGTCAGAGAAAGATAAATATCACATGATCTCACTCATTCATGTAATATAATGACCAACATAAACTAAGGAACAAAAACAGACCTATGCCGACGCAATAACTTCACCGATACAGCTCCTAGGGCAATGGAAACTAAAAAGAAAATATACAAATGGGACGACATCAAAATAAAAAGTTTAGATCCAGAGACAGAGAAGCATCCATCAGACCATCAAACCTCAGGGGGAAAGTAGGGGAGGGTGGGGTTAAGGGGGAGAGATCAACCAAAGGACTTGTATGCATGCATAGAAGCTTAACCAATGGACTCAGACAATAGGGGGGTGAAGGGGGGGATAAGGACACATATGTAATAACTTCATCAATAAAGAAATTTTTTAAAAAAGTAAAAGAAAGCCAGTCCTCAGGTTCACGCTGTCACTCCTGAGCTATTACTACCATGACCAATTGACCATGATTCCCTGTATTAAAGTGATCTACAGTCCTGGCTGATGTGTCTCAGTGGGTTGAGCATAGACCCGTGCACTGGTGAGGTCACATGCCTCGGTCGTGGGCTGGATCCACAGTAGGGGTTGTGCAGGTGGCAACCAATCCTTGCTTCTTGCTCATCCCTGTTTCTCTCTCTCCCTCTCCCTTCCTTTCTACATCTAATATCAATAAAAATATAGTTGTACTTTAAAAAACATGACTGCAGGTTCCTGATTCAGCTCACTCCTCACTCCCAGCCTTTGCACATTCTGGACCCTGTGTCTGGAGGACCTCGCACTCATTACACTGGTTGCCAAAAACAAGGTCAACGTCATAAAGCCCTAGTCCTGGCCTTTGGAGTCTGGGCTTAGGCAGGGGTGGGCAAACTTTTTGACTCAAAGGCCACAGTGGGTTCTTAAACTGGACCGGAGGCCGGGACAAAAGCATGGATGGAGTGTTTGCGTGAACTAATATAAATTCAAAGTAAACATCACTGCATAAAAGGGTACGGTCTTTTTTTTTTTTTTTTTTTTTAGTTTTATTCATTTCAAACGGGCCGGATCTGGCCCGCGGGCCGTAGTTTGGCCACGGCTGCAAGTTTACACCCACAACAGGCCCGGTTCCCGATTCCTCCCTGCGCAGTCGCACCATCACGTCCTCACAAGGGGGCCCTGCAGCCTTTCACCCTCTTCCCCCCTCAGCCATGTGTCACCCACGAGGGACTCACCATTCTGAGCGCTGGGACCTGAGAGGCCGGTCCCCAAGGCTGGAGGATGAAATGGGGTCCGGCTGCGGGGACGCTGTGAGCAGAGAGGAGTCCGGGAGCCACGGGGACCCCAATCTCGGGCTGTTGGGCTCAAGGAGCCTCAGACACACCCCGCACGGCAGGCGCGCTGCCTCCCAGGCCTCCTTCTCCTCACGACCAGCGCCCTGAAGCCTGGGAGTCTGTGAAAACAGACCTAAAAGTTTAAAATGGCCACCGCGAAGAGGAAGGCGGAAGTCCCGCCCTAACCGGATGCGCAGACACGGAAATGCCCTTGAGCACCGCCCACAAGGGTGCAGCTCCTTCTGGGTAATGTAGTTTTCTCAACCTCTCAGGGCAGGGCTAGCATCCCAACCAATGACTTAAGTGAATAAAGGTGACATGGCCGAAACTGGTTTTGCTGAGTGGATAGAGCATTGGCCTGCGGATTGAAGGGTCCCGGGTTCGATTTCCGTCAAGGGCATGTACCTGGGTTGTGGGCACATTCCCAGTGGGAGTGTGCAGGAGGCAGCTGATCGGTGTTTCTCTCTCATCGATTTTTCTAACTCTGTCTCTCTCTCCCTTCCTCTCTGTATAAAATCAATAAAATATATTTTTTTAAAAAGGTGATGTGGCCCAGTAAGAGATGCCTGGGGAGGGAGTAGATGGGACCAGAGGCCTGGCTAACTGCAACAGACTGACAGATCTCCGAGGAAAAGAGGGTGGGGAGGACTGGAAGAGATCCACCAAGAATATATACACAGGGGGGAAATTGGAGACATTCGTAATAGTATCAACAGGAAAAAAAAATACACGTATTTTTATAAATTTTAAATAATGAAGCCCAGCTGGTGTGTCTCAAAGGTTGAACATTGACCTATGAAACCGGAACTCATGGTTCTTTTCCTAGTCAGGGCACATTCATGGGTTGCAGGCTCAATTCCCAGTGTGAGGGTGGATTGTGCAGGAGGCAGTTAATCAGTGATTCTCTCTCATCATTGATGTTTTTATCTCTCCCTCTCCCTTTGACCCCCTAAAATCAATGAAAATAAATTCAATAATGTATATACATATATGCATAGCCCATGGACATAGACAATAATGTGGTGAGGGCCTAGAAGAAGTGGCGGCAGGGGGAGAGGGAGGAAAAAGGTAAGGGGTGTGGGGGGAAATTTGGGGACATCTGTAACACAGTCAACAACAATAACAAAAGAATAGTGTGCACAGCCAGTGTTGCTCAGTGGTGGGGTGTGTACCCATGAAGCAATATATCACGGGTTTGATTTCAGGTCGAGGCACATGCCCAAGTTTGCGGCTCCATCTTAGGAGGTTGGGATGC